CCACACTCATCAGACGAAACGCGGAATTGCTTCCATTTCACGCCTGTCTTCTGTGTGGTCGTGGTATTACACCGGGCGAACCGGCCCATTCGTGCAAAGATGTTAAAGCGGGCTCTACCACTATTCATATTTTCATTTCACATTTATTTATGTAAGGTCTCCTTGAATGCGCTGCTTTCAAATATTTGACAAATATTGAAAATATATAAAGTCACCAGCATGCACTAAATTAATATTATACAATACGGGTAAGCACAGTATTTATTGCATTTCCATACATTTCTATCAGCCGTCGTTATTAAATTATCTCTTTAACCATATCTAACAGTGCATTATAATCGCGTTTTACGTAAGAATTTATACCATAGTTTTTAAGGAAATTATAGCATATCTCGTTATAGAATAGTTGGTCAGTTCGTAAGCCACTAAATGGATTAGTGCGGAAAGCCCGTCTTAGTGAGCACGCGCGTCACTCGCTAGTCATTCCTTCACGTTATCTAGTAGTTGCTACCCGAACAGTGGCCTGTTGTCTTTTCTGGGTTTTATTTCTATCAGAAGTTTACAATAATTGTTTAATGGTAGTTCTTGTAAAGAAAGACAAATTAACGTTTGAAATGTATCACTTTTGTTAGATGCTAAACAATAAATTTAAACCATGAAAAGCTTTTAGATATAAACATATTGTTATTTAACTTAGATCTATTAATATTCTTCATGTTTTAGGTTATTATTACACAGTGAAAGTATTCTGATTATGTTCTCACATAAAAATCGTGACGCGAACAATCTCTCAAAACTTAGGCCATAGATTCGGCTTTCACTGTGTTAGAAGTACGTGACTCCAAGAACTCGATGTATAACTCATTCCCTTTGAGAAGTATTCGCATTTAGATAATCCTGTAGGAAATTATCGGATACAGATAGTACTGGAAGCAAAATAGGCACGTATATCGAAATATAAGGAGTTTGCGTACAATGTCGGCTGAAATTGCATTAATCATCAGGTAAAGAAGACTTGCGTCAATTTTAATTGACATTTGTAGCGTAAGTGAAGGTTAAAAATTTACATTTATAATAACACCATCACTGAAATATAAAACGAAAATAGCAAATTTGTGTCTTAACAGGACCCAAAATCATAAAAACAATATTTTTTAATGAATAAATCATTTACAATTATTCAATACTACAAAACTTTATGACAACCCCTAAATTGTTTAGTAGTAA